CTACAAGAGTTAGCACCAGGACAGTCTCCAAAACCACAGAGAAACACCCCCCCAAAAAAAACCAAACAAAACAAAAAAAACCAAAAAACTGGAGCTGGGGAGATGGTTCAGCAGTTACAGGCACTGGCTGCTATTCCAGAGGACCTGGGTTCAATTCTCAGCACCCACAGTGGGCAGCCCGCAACTGTCCGTAATGCCACTTCCTGATAATCCAATGCATCTGAATTCCAAGAGCATTTGCACTGACATGCACACACACACATACATGTAATTAAAAATAATCTTAAAAAACTAATATTCTACATCAGGCAGTGGTAGCATGTTCCTTTAATCCCAACACTTGGGAGTCAGAGGCAAATGGATCTCTGAGTTCCAGGCCAGCTTGGTCTATAGAGCAAGTTCCAGGACAGCCAGGGCTACATAGAGAAATCCTGTATCAAAGAAAACAAAAACAACAACAAAAACCAAACCCAACCAACTGCCCAAAGAACAACAACAAAAGTAAGTTAAGAGCACTTACTGATCTTGCAAAAGATTCAGGTTTGGTTCCCAGCACCCACATCTCAAAATCACCCTTAACTCCAGTTCCAGGGGATCCGATGCCCTCTTCTGGTCTCTGTGGACATCACACAACACACACACACACACACACACACACACACACACACACACACACACACACACACACGCAATGTACATGTAAAATAAAAATACAATTTTCAAAAAATTACAAAATACATTTCACTATAAATTCCACTTTTCTGGGAGCTGGAGGGATGGCTCTGTGGTTAAGCACATTGGTTACTTTTTTGCAGGGGACCCAGGTTCAGTATTCTACACCCACATGGAGGTTTACCACCACCCATAACTCCAGTTACAGAGAATACGACCTACTCTGACTGTCATGGGCACCAGGGATGCCCATGATATAAATGCACACATGCAGGCAATATACTCATACACATAAAATAATCTAAAGACAATTTTAATAATTCTAGTTATCTTCAACATAATGACCTTTTTAGCTGACCACTCCTTCTACTGGTTGTTCTATGGCACTTGGAAAGAAAGCAGGGTGTGGTAGAATATGACTACAAACTTTGGGAGTTTCTAAAAGGTCAGGGACCATAGGCCAATACTGCGAATAATACACAACCTAAATCTCCTAATTGCAACTATTGGATCTGTTTTCAGAATCTCTGAAAAACATTAAAATGAAAATCAGGAAAGCACAATGAAGAAAAACCAGAAACACAAAATAGGCAACTAAATTAGAAGTCAATAAAGTATTGGAATGATGGCAACAGCTAGTATATACCTCTAGAAAGAATTAATCTATTGAAATTAAAAATGTCAGTAGTCCCTAAGTAATTCTGCATTAATTCCTCCTTGCTCATATTGTCAAACAACTATATAGTGTTTACACTTTGCTTAATTACATATTATAGACAGTTTTTATAATTATTAAAAAGTCAAAGTCATGAAAGACCAAAAAATAAACTTTAAAGTCCTTTACTTGGTATATTATTCAAATTTCGACACTACATTCACTTTTCTACTCTTACACATCTAGATATTTCCCATGTATCTTTTGTTAACATTTTTTTATATTTAAATGGCCATGCTGACTTCCATTTTTAAAAGATCTTTATAACTGGCATGTGAACTAGTGTTTTACAGGAAGCAGGCACACAAATTGTATATAAGCATGCACTTTTTACTTCAACTAAGAAAACACATGGATAGGGACATACCACAAACATACAGTTCTTGCCTGGTGTGAAGTAGGCACTGGAGTCAAACCCAGCTCCCACCACAACAAAACCTAAATATACCACTGACCATTAAACGAAACAAAACTGTTACAGCAATCCTGAAAGTCAGGCATTGTGACGCATGCCTATGTCTTCCCGGAACTTAAGGTTGAGGCAGGACTTCTGAGAGCAGGCTGGGCTGACTGGGAGATCCTAACTCAAGGGGGAAAAAAGAAGAAATCTGGAGACTCCTCTCAGGGACATACATTAAAGCAGGCAACATGCTGAATCTCTCTTTTGACAAAGGTAATTTTTATAGTAAGTTCTGTCTTTTAGATTTGTTATGTGTGTTCACGTGCATGTTTGATAGGGAACACACATGATACAGCATGTAAGGCCAGCCGTCTATTTTCCCTCCCACTTCCCCACTTAGGAGTCCATTCTTCCACTGTGGGTTCTGGGGATCCCAAGACACTGAACTCAGATCCAGGTCTGCCGAGCCATGCTGCAGGCAGGAGTTTCTTTTTACTGGTAACAACTTAAACACATCCTTTAAAGGCAGTTACAAGTGGGAAGACTTAGCATTTTCCAACAGTGAAAAGTAGGAGGAAATGACCATTTCCCTGGGAGGTAGGCTTTAGGAATCATAAGCTGCAATAGTTAACACCCAAAGTTTATAGTTAATTAGGTAAACTCTACCCAATCCTTGTAAATAGTTTCCAGTGTTCTACTTTCACACAACCACTGCAGAAGTCTGTCCTGCTAAAGGGATGTCTGTAAAATGCCCAGGGTCAAAGCATAGTGTTTGGTGGACAAAAGGGGGCTCAATATTTTTGAAGGGACAAATCATTGAGTGAAATGAACACAATAGGCTCTCTAACTCTCCCGGCCCCCTATTATTCCTGTTATGTGCTTTGCACCTCTCTATGCTAATCGTGATGTAGCTCCTTCTCTTTTTTCCAAAAGGCTGTGGTTACTCTGTCTTCCTTTAGAAATCTAGAGTCGATAATTACCCTGATCCTCCTCATTAAGCAATAAATAATTAACCTGTTCCTGGTCCTTATATCCTAACTGGAGGGTTTTTTGTTGTTGTTTTTGATTTTTGATAAAGCTAGCACAAAGCAAATTCTGACTCCAGGTCAGTTGAATTCCTTACTGCTATCCTTACTTAGTAATTAATTTGGGGTCAATATTTTCAGTGTCACCCCAATACATTTATATACATTAACTTCCTGAGGCAAACTTCAGTAACAATAGTGAAAACATAAAACAAACAAACAAGCAAACAAACTGCATTCAACTATGGGGTTAATAAATTGAATTAAAATACATTTTGTATAAAATACCTATACTATCTACTTTTTAGTATGTTCATGATATGATCTAACATACATCCTTAGGGGGAAAAAGCTTTTCTCTCCTATGACTGCTAAAAGTCACATTAATAATGAAATCTTAAGTTTTTACAGTGTCTAAAAATGCTGTCGAAAGCTGGGCAGTGGTGGCACTGGCCTTTAATCCCAGACAGAGGCTACATGGAGTTCTAGGATAGCCAGGGCCACATGGAGACATGGGACAGATCACACACACACACACACACACACACACACACACACACACACACACACAGGACACCAGGACTGCTGCACAATTAAAGTAGCCAAAACATTCAACTTTTCTGTACTGTACCCACTGAACTATTTGTTCAATATCGTAATGTCTTAACTTCAATTTAGGATAATAACAAACGCTATAATGAAAAATCTAACACCACTTTATAAGGCTGGGAGTGCCAACTAATCTCTGTGAGTTCCAGTCCAGCCAAGCCTACCCAGTAAGACCCTGTCTCAAAATAACAAACATACAAACAAAACAACTGAGGGTATCTGGAACTCGAAGTGAAAACCTGAATGGTCCAAACGTTTAAAAATCTCTTTCTAATTGTCAGAGATGCTAAATTAGAGACAAAATAATTACGTGTTCCAAAATACAGTTTTATCTCTTTTAGGGCATTTAGCTATTGAATCTCATTGAGATTGTAAAATCCTCATAGATGCGCTAAACTCCTCTTTGGCTATGCATATGATTACAAATACAGCCAATTCTTTTTCTTTTGTTACACCAAATACTAGTTTTGAAGAAACCTCCCTCTGAAACTGCGGGTTCAAGGTGTTATTCATCCCTACTCTGGTCCCACAGAGAGACCTCTCTGGTCTCAACAGATAAAATGGAATACAGAAGCAGGAACTAAAGATCGATCGCATCTCCATGTCAATTTCACAGCTCGGCTATTTGCAAAATGTTATAAATTAAAACTGTTATAAATTAATGTTTAAAAGGGTGGGGAAGCTTGAGGAAGTGACCCTTCCAAGTTACTAATGTAGTCCCACGGGAAATTGTCCAGCTAGAATTTACATCGGCTTAATATTCCACTTGAAACAATGGCTATTTTCCACACTTTTCTTAAGGTGGCAGGACGGCACGTCCTGCCCTCGAACTCCGAGCAGCCGTTTCCCCTCCTCGCAGGGACATATTATCGGTCCCTTCTCCTCACAGACGGCGGAAATGGTTTTAGAAAGACAGTATTCCAAGCTCAGACCCAATCCAGAGTCGGTGGGTGGCAGCAGGTGCTGGCGGCCCCGAGACCTGACTCACGCACGGAAGGCGACTGTCACCTCCCGGCCCTCAGAGCTGGCCACGGGATGTGGTCAGACGTCCCCGGCGCTTGCATCGCGGCGCCCGGCCCGCATCCGCCCCGCGCCCCCTCCGGCATCTCCACCTGCAGCATCTCGGGTACCCGGGAGGTGGCCGGCGGGCTAGGGCTGCAGGACCGCAAGACGCACCGAGACCTGGGCAGAGGCGCCGATTCCAAGTTCGCCGCCCTCGCCACCGCGCGCCCCTGGGCTCGCTCCCTCCGTCCGTCCGTCCGTCCGTCCACGGCCCCCTCTCCTCCCGCAGGATCCCCCGGCTGCCTGCGGGCGGGAAAACTCTCAGGTGCCTCCCGCCCCCGGGCTCCCGTCGGACGTCCGCTCCTCCAGGGGAGCCTCGCTCAGCCAACCGCCGCCGCCGCCGCGCGCCCCTCGCCACTCACCGGCTCGAGCCCGGGCAGCCATCTTAGCGCTCACGGCGCGCCCCGGGCCCCTCGCCCCGCCGCCTCCGGGCGGCAGGGTCCCGACGACGTCAGCGGGGACGCGAGGCCACGCCCCGTCGCCACGCCCCCGCGCGGGCCACGCCCCCACCCGAGCGCTAGCGGCGCCGAGCTGTAGGAAGCCGACGCTGGCCGTCCCGCGTCCCACGCGAGGCACGTGGCTCTGCGTGGACGGCAGACTCTCCTCTCAGGGGGGACGGTCCACTTGCCGCAGCCTTCGAGGCCGGGAAGATTGAACCCACTGTGAACCGCATGCGTGTGAGGTGCGTGCCCGTAGAACTCCCCAGCTTCTCCACCGCTCAGCCCAGTTTCCAATCGTCCGGCTGTGGCCCGAGCCAATTCCTTGATTTAAAAACCTGCTCAGATTCGCAGCTGCCTTCACTCCTCCCCCTGTGATAAGATTTAACACGAAAATGCCCCTAACTCACAGTGATCAGTGTAAGGCAGTGAAGTTTATGTGGGAAAGAAACGGAGAGGGTAGACGGGGGAGGGGGGTCGGCATCAGAAAGTCAGGCCTAGATGTACATAAAAATCTGTCAATCAGCTGGAGAGGTGCCTGGTTAAGAGCTCAGGCTGTTTGCTCTTCCAGAGGTTCAGGGTCCTGCTCTCAACACCTACAAGACCGCTCACAACTGTTACTCCAGTTCCAGGGGATCTGACGCCGTCTTCTGCTCGCCCTCGGAAACAGGTGCAGACGTACGTTCAAGCAAAATGTACTTACACTTAAAAAAAACAACAAAGCTGTTTTAAAAAAAAAATCAGTGCTCACTGAGCTCTGAAAGCCATTTCTGCCTAGCTACCCCGCGGGATACTGAAAATGCAGGCATGCTTTCCAAAGAGCTACACAAACATGCGAAGTTAGTATCAGTGGAATGCTAAATCTGGCACTACTTAGGGAAAACTAAAATTGTTCCCATTCTAAACCAACAAGTATACTCTAGGGATTTTCTTCCAGTAGTGAGGTGACAAAAAAAAATGAACACAACAATAATTTGAATGGATAAAATGTCTAAGCAAAGGGGAATGGCAAATTAACATCTTGTGTAGTAACCTCTTGGGAGTTCTTAGGTTGGTAACAAAATAGCAATAGAATGCAAAAGATTCGTATTTGAAAAATACTGAATATGTATGAAAATTACAAATACAGGGAATATAGTGATGCAAATAAAGACTAAAGACTTTGGGCAGTGGTGGTGCATGCCTTTAATGCCAGCACTCGGGAGGCAGAGACAGGCGGATCTCTGTGAATTCGAGGCCACCTGCTCTACAAGAGCTAGTTCCAGGACAGCCTTCAAAGCCACAGAGAAACCCTGTCTTGAAAAACAAAATAAAACAACAGCAAAAAGAAGACTAAAGACAAGGAACGAGTCTGCGTGATTTTAGCATCCAATTAGCATACAGCAATTCCAATTAAGTTCTTTCCCGGCAGCATTTTCCTTCACACCCAAGCTTTATTTTGTGTATGTATGTGTGTAGGCGCTGAATGCCACAGTGTGCATGTGGTCAGAAGACAGCTTGTAAGGACTGGTTATCTGTTAGGCAGTTTCACTGAACCTTCACTTAAACACCCTTCCACTATGTGAGTACCAGGATGGAACTCCGGTCACCAGGCATGGTGGATGGCAAATGTCTTCTTCGCCTAGTGTATTCACCAGGCTAGAACCATCTCAAGTGGCTTGGGGAACTGGAGCTCTGAGGGAGAGCCTTGGGTTTGATCCCCCAGAACTGCAGAACACAGCAAAAACCGTCTTTAAAGTGAAATAGGATTCGGATCATCCGCAGTAGAGAATTCCAGTCAGAAAACAAGGACACATGGTCAAATGGACTGGCATAAAGAAGAAAGAGTTCAGAAACGGGGTGTTTCCTGAGATTAAAATGCCTTTTTTTTTTTCTGAGTGGCACACAGCCTGGTGAGGACGGAAGCCATGCGAAAGAGTGGAGAAGCATGTGAATGGGGAGGGAACAAAGCCGCAGCAGGGCGTAGGTGGAGAGCACAGAATAGGATGCTCCGGTCAAACATCCTAGGTGCAACTTTGAATGGTGCCAAGGGGGAGGGGATGCCGGAGGGAGTTAATTACAGACAGTGTAACACTTTATGTTCACTGTTACAAATTCCCTCAGCTACCATCTATTCCTGCTCTCCACACTAACTACAGCCGGGAGCTCACTTGCTTTCCGAGCTCGGGACCTCTCTTAGTAGAATCACATTAGTGCGTTGTTGCCAGAATCGTTCTTTAATTTCTTTTGTTTCTAACCAATCTCATCAAACTTAAAACTTTTCATTACTGAGATGCCACCTTTCCCACCTCTAGCAGCGGATTCCCGACACTCACCTATTTTATGTATCCTTAAACTCAGCCCCCAAATTGGCCTTTAGACGAAGAGGTCGGTCCTTTTATGCTCTCCCAGGGTTTGGGCGCTTTCCGCCGTTAAATCCGAGCGCTGTTGATGTTTATTTCCTAAGTGGAGAGTCCCCCGGTCTCAGCTCTTCCAGACCATTACAGTCAAGCCCTCACAGGGCTGCCAATCACTTTCCTAGGAAAGGGGGTCCCGGCCCAACCCCCACCCTAGCAGCGCATTATCCTGCCGCCCTTGCTTTTGTTCCGAGCTCTGAGCCCGGTTCTCCGCATTTGCATTGCAGCCTCTTTGGGGGTGAAGACTGAGGCTTTGCCCTGTTTGTTTATCTCTCCACAGCCCAGAATATAGTGTCAGCCCAACACACCCTTAAAATTCCTCATGAAAACCAAAGTAGAAGCTGCCTGGCCTCAGATGGAGTTTTGAAAGTGGTATGTACGGAGTTTCCTTTATTCCCAACAGCCCAAAATTGGGAGAAATGACAATTTACCCTTTTCCCCTAGTAAGCAATTTCTTAAATCATTTTAAGGACTCTGACTCCTAATTAGTATGTGATTAGTCACTCCTGAGGTACAATTCAAATGATCTTGCCTCTAATACTCCAGCACAGAGTGGGGATGGATCCAGGATAAACACAGCACACTTCACGAGTCTCAGGGCTTGCTTCCTATGCTCTGTAATAGATTTTAGATTTTTTAACCCACTCTTTTGCAAATCAGAGAATTGTCTTTGTAATTAGTTTCAGAGTAAAGAAGAATTAATAATGTGTTTCTTAAGTTTAAGGGTGTAGAAGAACTTTCAGTTTTTTGGAACACTCCCACGCTCTAATTTTAAGATTTACAGACCACTTTTTGAACACCCGAGTGCCAGGCATTACGGCAGAAATTGAAACTCAACCCATAGCCTTCATTTCAACGTTATGAGGAGATAAAAGGATTGAACAGAGGAAGTAGATTAAGAAACACTGCAGCGGGGTTTAGGCACGTAGCTCTGTGGTAGGGTGCTGGCCCAGGGTTCAATCCCCAGTCTTGCCACGAAACAAAACACTGCAAAGAGCTTAGCCGGAAAGTTTGATTGAAGTGTAGCAGCAGGCTACGATTGAGTTTAAATGAGAGACCCAAAGGACCTGAAGTCTCTGGCAAATGCGTAAGGAAAGAAAATGGCTGTAGAATTTTTCCTTTTTTAATTCTGAGGAAGAACAAGTGTGACAGTTGGTAGAGGCGATGGAAGTTGAGTAAAGGACATTTTCTCTTCTTCATTTTTGGTGTCCAGGACTCAGTGAATCTGGGAACCTGTCCATGCTAAGCTGTTTGCTGGGCTGCTGAAGAACTTTGCCCACGTGTGTTTTATGGTCTGTGAGGAAAGCTTGTGTTTCGGCGGCAAATTTCCAATGTATGCATGCTAGAGACTGCAACTGAGAACTGGTTTAGGTCTGAATGGATGCAAAGCTGAAGGCAGCCTGCTCAGCCTCTCTTCATGCCCGCCCATCGCTACCCTTCCAGTGTTTCAGGGCCCTTCAGCTACTTTTACTCAGGGATTTACTGCATTGTCAAGTTTTTCTCATTTCTTTCTCGTCCAGATTTCCCCATGTTTGTTGTGGGCCTGAAGCCCCAACCTTCCATTGCTGGAGGTGTTCTATTATCATACAATCAGTTTGTTCACTTGTAAAGTATGCATTCATTAATTGTTACTTAAAATTTTTATTTTGAAGTATGCATCCATTAATTTTATTAAGTAGAATCAGTAGTCACCTGGAGAATGACATTTCTAAAATGAGATTTTAAATCTTGTATTACGTCTGTAGTAAAATAACAATAAATTTGGGGATAAATACTACAAGGCTAAATTAATTATAGTGCTGAGATAGACATGGACAGCAATGTTTCAGTATCTCTTCCTTATACAAAGCAAAGAGTTCGGGCTGGAGAGATGGCTCAGAGGTTAAGAGCACTGACTGCTCTTCCAGAGGTCTTGAGTTCAATTCCCAGCAACCACATGGTGGCTGACAACCATCTACAATTCAATCTGGTGTATATGTAATAAATAAATAAAAAAATCTTTAAAAAAAAACAAAGCAAAGAGTTCAAGAAAAGTCGAGACAGGGTGTGGTCCTAGGAATTAAAACATTAATTTTTAAAGGTTCAGTAAAATCTATGGCAAAAAGATGCATGTCTTTCTTTTCTCTTTTTATTTTTGTTTGTTTGTTTGTTTAGTTATGTATTGTTTTTTCAAGTCAGGGTTTCTCTGTGTAGCCCTGTCTTGGAACTAACTCTGTAGACCAGGCTAGCTTTGAACTCTGAGATTCACCTGCCTCTGCCTCCCAAATGCTGGGATTAAAGGCTTGTGCCATCAACCACCCTGGTGTCCTCTGATTTTGTGGTTGTTGTTTTGTTTTGTTTTGTTTCAAGAGACAGGGTTTCTCGTATTGTTTTGGAGCCCTTCCTGGAACTCGCTCAGTAGACCAGCCTAGCCTTGAACTCAGAGATCCACCTAACTCTGCCTCCTGAGTGCTGGGATCAAAGGCATGGGCCACCATGCCTGACTGTCTTCTGATTTTTAAAACTGTGCCTTTGTGATAGAAATTGTGTCGAGGATAGTCGTAACATGAAAACTTTTGTCTTCTAACTCTGCTGCGGTTTCCTTAAGTGTTTTTCTTGTTGTCTTTAGCTACCTGATGCTAGGTTTCTTGCCTTATGTCTTTGAAAATATTTTCTTGAAAGAAGGTCACCGACAGTTCCTTTCTTGACAAAGCTCAAAAACACATTTGCTTCATTGTTTGCTGGTTGATCCCACTTTCCTTCTCAAAATACTTAGCATTTATTTTTCCATTTATATTAACACTGGTAGATTCAGAAGGGAATTGAGTGATTATGTCACTAGGCATGAGACAGCTACATAGTATACAGTGGATACTAAATGCTGCTGTACTAAATCTTTTTGTTCTGTTTTGTTTTTTGGAGACAGTGTTTCTCTGTGTAGACCTGACTGTCCTGAAACGTGCTATGCAGAGATGAGGCTGCCCTTGAACTCACAAAGATCCACTTGTCTCTGCCTCCTGAGTGCTGGGATTAAAGGCATCCACCACCACTCCCTGATGTTGCTATTAAACTTTGTTTTGTCCTGATACAGAACTTAGTTGCTTAGGATTTTGCCAATCTTTTTCTTTCCCTTAAGACCAGGCATTGTAGTTGCTGTGTCTGGGCAGAATTTGATCAACTTGTTCAAATTTGTCTGCTTTGGGGAGGTTGAACTTGGCAAGGGAGAAGGAAGAAGGAACATTTTTCCCTAACCAGATCACAGCAAGCTCTGCTGACTCTATCCAGATTATGCGATTTGTTTTATTTACCTTTGTCTGTAACTTGACATTATTTTTCTTCTTTGCGGTGGCGTTCATGTTTTCGTGCCTAGACTGTCCACATACTGTTTCATCAGTTTCACCGAGGTCAGGAAAAGAAGCTATACGGCACTTTTATTGTCACTGGTCCCAAACCCCTTTCCAGTCACTTGGCTCCCATAGTGTGGAAACACAGCCCTGGGTTCATTTGCAAGTGCTGAAACACATAGAAGAAACCAAACAGTGTAATTACCGGAATTTACCAGATGACAGCATTGGTTTAAAATTAAGCTGGGTGGATCATGTTGAAGCCACTGTAGTGATGATTGTAAGATTCACTTACACTTTTCATTTTCTGAGGTAAATACATAACAACGTCATCATTTCTACAAAAGATTTCCTTACAGTTTCTACAGTGTTATCTATTGAGAATTGGGAATTTTAGATTTCGTGTGAAATCAATGGCAAAAGTACAGCAATAAATAGGTTTATTGGTTGTCAGCTTAGATTCACATAACATTAAACCCCTTGACTATTACTTTGTTTCTTACCTGACAAACCTGAAAATAATAAAGACATGGTATATGTTTTAGCAACATCAACTAGCTCTTAATTTTTATCATTTAATGTACCCATGTTGATTTTCACATTTGTTCTTGTTCCTTTAGCAGATTTTCGTCCCTAAATCTTTTACCTAACTATCAAAATGCCTTCAGTTGTTTCATTTGTTAAATCTAACTTTGGGTTACCCAGAGATATATGAAAGGCATTGTTTCAGTATAAATACAAGGATAAAAAGAATTGTGTATTAGTATTAATGCCGTTAACTATAGTAGCTTACATGTCTCAAGAGTTTTCATATGCATTTCCCATCATAGATCTATATCTGTATTATATATCTCATAGCTGTATAGCTGAGGTAACTGGAGTATTAAGTAACAAAGTAATCAGCAGAAATGGAACCAGAAAATAAATCAGGTGACTAATCATTTTTTTAAGTGTACCTTACAAATACCATAGAAGTGATTTTCATTTTTTCCCCTTTTTTTTTTCAAGACGAAAGGTTTCTTTATGTAGCTCTGGCTGTCCTGGAATTCATTCTGCTGACCAGGCTAGCCTCGAACTCACAGAGATCCACCTCCCTCTGCCTCTGAAGTGCTGGGATTAAAGGCATGCACCACCACTTCCTGGTTGGGAAACAGTTGTGAGAACTAGCATCTGTGAGAACTACTCACTATGACACCCAGGTAGTACCACAGGCAGCAGTGAATTCTAGTTATCCTTTTACTGATGTATGGGTTGTTATCGGAAGCATGGGAAAGACGTCCACTTAACAAGCCACTTTTTCCCCAGGATGAGAAAGATCTCAGGCTGACTCAAACAAAGGAAAGAGAATCAAAGCTTGTCGTAGTCACTTTTCTGTTTCTGTGATAAACAGCATGCCCAAGGCAACTCGTAAAGGACAGCGTCTAAGTTATGGTTTCAGAGGGTGAGAGCCCATGATGGAGGGAAGGACCAGCTGAGAGCTCACATCTTCATCCACAACCGTGAGGCGGAGAAAAGGACACTGGGAATCTCATGAGTCTTTTGAAACCACACTTGGAACAATGCCTGACCTCTTAGTACTTCTCATATAGTTATACCAAGTGCTGAGATATGTGGGGTCAAGTGTTGAAACATGAGCCTGTTGGGGCCATTTCCTTTAAACCAGCACAATCATTTTATGGTTTCTCTGGTAGGAAGGACCTGGTGGAGTTCCAGTTGTGTCTGTACTCTCCCTTGTTATGCTTCTTCATATTTCACATGCCTCATTATGTCTAACATCTGCCTTGCAGTATAATTTCACTATTATAATAAGGCGGAGGCTTTTTACAATACAGCTTACTAGCTATTACATATTTGTGTGGACCACTCACTACCAGGAGAAAAACTGTTACTTTTAGAGCAAGCTAAATTGACTAAATGTGTTTGTATATACCAATACAGAACCGTTAATCTATTTCAAAGTCTCTGTTAAGTTGCTTGCTGTAACAGTAACTTGCTTCCCCCCCCCCTTTCCTTTTTTCTTTTAAAACAAAACACAACAAGGAGTAGGCA